AGCTCAATAAATTTGTGTTCCCAGAGCGAATGACTTCTTATTTGAATCTTATGCTTTGCAGGGACAGAAAGACATTAAATTTGGGGGATCCACTGGCTATTGAAGGAAAGAGAGATATAAATGAGGGTTGAGTTGTTTCTGACCCACTGACCTTTTACGTGTTAGGGGACAGTGCCTCCCATGGGCCTTGATGTTGAATACACTTGGTTGCACCCACTGCTGAGGTCCCACATCTTCCTGCTGGGTTAGTTGTACTAGTTGTTCATTTAAAATAATTTTTATGTTTGATTTAACATGTGTATATTAAATACACACCTATTATGGTGTAATATGCATTTGGTACTTTAAATATAATAGTCAAATGCATTGGTAAGAATAGACTAGTAAGATGTCAAAAAGCATTTGAGCATGCAGAGAACTTCCCTTTTCTTTTCGGGTTCACGGTCGGTCATGCTTCCCTTCCATAAGGGTGCACAGGAGCCTGGAGAGTACCGATCCCTGGGGATCTGGAATTATTCCGAGTGGATTTGAGGCTGTCTACCCAGAGGCCAGCACAGTGCTTGACACATAAAGGTTTTCAAGAAATTATCTGCTGAGTGAATAAAGGAATGATTGATTTATTTAAGACCAATTGATAGGTGGTTGCAGTGGTACACGTCTGCAATCCTAGCACTCTGGGAGGCTGAGGTGGGTGGATTGCTTGAGCTCAGGAGTTCAAGACCAGCCTGAGCAAGAGCAAGACCCCGACTCTAAAACAAAAAAAAAACCAAGTGTTGTGGCAGGTGTCTATAGTCTCAGCTGCTCAGGAGGCTGAGGCAAGAGGATGACGTGAGCCCAGGAGTTTGAGGTTGCTGTGAGCTATGACATCATGGCACTCTATGGAGGGCAAAAAAGTGAGATTGTCTAAAAAAGAAAAAGACTAATTGATATATTTCATCTATGGGTAATTACCAAGGTCATTCATCATTCATCTAAGGAACCTCATTATCAGTGTTTCCTGAGAAATAATCATAATTGACAGATTCAACCATATTTGCTGAGTATTTTGCCCTGTGCCAGCCCTGAGCTGGGTGTTGGAGACGTGGTCGGATGGGGGTGTGGCCTTTGCCCAGGAAGGATAGTGCACAGCCCAGGGGATGACAGCCACTCCAGGAACTGTGGTTCCCATCCCATGGAGTTGGTAGAAGGCGCTGATGGCTCTGTGTTAGCTGGTGTTGGGAGAACAATGAACAGGACAAATTAAATCTAGTGGGGGGGAGGGGGAAGCCATTCAATTCTCCAGAGAGGAAGAGATTTTTGCGTTGCAGTGGGGGAGGGAAAAGGCAAGATCCTAATTATACTACTTCGGAAATGCGCTGCTCCCGGTCTATCCTGGGCTTGACTGGCTGTGGCGCCATCTTGGAAATGCCCCCTCCATCCTCACAGAGCTGGGGGGACCTTTAGGTCCCCACATTTGCGGTGGTACTTCAGCCTCCTAGAGCCTCTGGCTCAGCTTAGCTCTCTTATTGAAGAAAGGCATTTCATTCTTCGAGATCAGGCAGCCAGGACCCAAGGAGCTGTTTTTTCCTCCATTGTGCAAGCATGACAAATCATTAATTTTTGATTGATTTGCTTAGAATTATGGGCGCCCCAGCATTCTTTCCGCCGCTGAACAGCTGTATAACAAATGAATATATCAGTGTGCACAAAAGATTGGAGATCTAAGAGAAGCAATTACATTGGCCACCCTCCCCCACCCTCACCCCTTCCCGGGCAATGAAGGGAGGAAATTTTTACCAGAAATTCCTCAAGTGGCTTAAAAAAAAAAATGCCTTTTTATAATTGAATTAAATCTTTATCTCTTCATCTTTTGCAGCAGGCTTCCAAACACACACCGGTTTCCCCATACGCTTGGGTTTTCTACCCATCCAGGAGGAATCTTTAATAATGAAATTTCAACTTATGAATTAAAACCAAAATGAAAAAAAGGAAAAAAAAAAAAGAACAAATTCCACCCCTCCTTTTTGCCTTTTTTTTTTTTCTTTTTCTTTTTTGGTCGCTGCTATTCCTTTAAGATTTTGGAACCGTACCAGTGCACTAAATGTGACCTCCATAACTTTTAAATTAAGAATTTATGCTGGCTTGAAATTTATGAAATATTTCAGCATGAAAGAAAGCCTTTTTCCCTCAGGAAAATTGAGCAATAAATCACAGCACTGTGGATTTACTGCCCTAGAGCCAGCGAGAGATAGGATTTTTTTTTTTTTGCTTCATTCTGAAAAAAAAAAAAATGTAATCATATAAGACAGCTTAGCTGCTATCCTCCCACTCTCTAGAATTTTTAATTTCAGCTGTTTCTGCTTGGATTTATTTCCAATATTCCTGCTCGGCTTTTCAATTTCCTCAGTTATTAAATTTTAATTCAGTGCATTAGCATTTAAATTAAAAAAGGGTTTATTTTATCGAAATCGTTGGCCAGCCCCCATCCCGGAGCACACGAATTGCCTGTTTCTGCCATTTGCACAAAATGTGAAATGCAGCTAATGTCTTACAACTTACATTTGCACAAATTTAGAAATAAAATTTCTGGGTTTGGAATAATATTTTCTTTCCAAGAAAACCCTTAATAAGAGAATGGAAAGGAACAACTTCACATTCATTTGGGCGGGTAGAGGAGAGTTGAAGGAAACCAAAAATAGCCTCAACCAGGTCCTGAGGGGGACGCTGGTGAATGAGGCATGGGTGGGGCTAGAAAAGGGGGGCAGGTATCCTTGTGGGGGGCTGGAGGGCTTGGATACCTTCCCCACCGCTGTGTAAGAGTGAGAAGGATGGTCTCCCATAGGCCCTCCTCATTTCATTGGTCATAGAGGGGTTTGGTTAAGTTTGGGTCTATTCAACACAGAGGGACAGAGATGGAAAGGAGGGGGCAGGCCGTCTGACATAGCCTGCTCCCTCCCCACCACACACATACCATGCCTAAGTTCATTTTTACTGATGGAGAACCTCAGGTCTAGAGAAAGGAAAGCTTATCTAAGGTACACAGTAGGGCCTGACAGTGAGAGTAAGAAGCACTTACTAGCACTTTAGGAATACACAGTGCACTGGCAGAAGACAGTGGTCCCGCAGCAGCTGCAGTAGGGGGTTCCATTGTGTAAGTGATTACTCCATGGCATCCGCTTAGTACCCCAGTGGTCCTGTTGGCGTCCTTGGGGCTGTGGTGGTCTCTTGGACCTAGGTGAGATGCCAGCTTATAGCATGCAGTCTTGCCAGGCTCTGAGGCAGAAGACCCAAGGTCTGGTTCAGGCTGGCTCCGTGACTTGTTCTGCTGCTGTGTGATCTTATACGCGCCATTCTGTTTCTCTGTTGCTTGGTTTCCTAGACCCAGGAAATGGTAGCCTCTGTCACTATATCTGAGGTGGTTAATGATCATTATAACTATTACAGCCTCCATAAGTGCTTTCCCGTATGTTACCTTCTTTAAGCTGTCTTATTATCTGCTATCTCACGGCACTCCAGTGAGGTAGGTCCTTGGATTTGAGTGTTGCCGTCTTATAGATAAGGAAACTGAAGCCTGGGGAGTAGATGACTTGCTAAAGATCACACAGCTAGAAAATGGCAAATCCAGGACTTAAACTCAGATTCTCTGGCTCTAAACCCCATGCTTTCAAGCTTCAGTTCAAGTTGAAAATCAGCCCAGCTTACACCAGGTAAAGATGAATTTGTCGTTTAGGTCGAATCACAGTGAAATGGCTGATTTTAAATCATTTTGGCCTCAGAAAGTGGCAACGACAGAGGCTCGGCTCAAACTACACAGTGGGGACAGCTCTGATACTAATATATTTGTGAGGACATAGGCCAAGGCATTCTGGCAACATGGATCTTTGCCCTGGGAGTTGGTGCTCTCAGATCTTTGGGCGTTGGCCCAATCATGAGATGCCATGCTTGCCTATGCTGATACTGACACGTGCATCTTGGGTGTCCCCCACTAGGCCATTGTCCATCAATATCCCAGTGAGACGACCCTCATCTGCCAAGGACATCCCACACTTGCCCGGGTAGAACACCTCCCTCCAGTCACCCCACTACCCCAGCCACTGCCATCGCCTCTGCAAAAGGATTTGTGTCTGCAACTCTTTAAATATTTTTAGCGTTTTGTCTGTTTTATAAAAATGAGGGGAAAACAGAAAAGAGTGCAGCTACCAGCAATACAAAGCTAAAGTATCACTCACTCAATAAAAGAAAAAACAAAGGTGGAGATTATTAGGTGTGCTGAAAACAGGGAATCTTAGTCTCCATTCTGTCATGTGCTCACCACACTTGAGCTGGTCAGCTCTGTGTGAAATCTGAAGGAAAAGGACAAAAAAGACAACTTTAAAAGTGTATATGAAATGCTAAAAATATACACCCAGAATTAAGTCTAGAAGGTGGAGAGATCATTGGGGATTTTACAATTTTTTAAAGCTCTCCGGGGCAGCAGAATCTCCACCCCACTTCTGCTGATGATACAAACATTAGAACAACTTCTGCCCATTTGCTTTGCAGACAGTTTTGAGGAATGCAGGATGTCGGAAAGAGGTTTAATTGATCTGTTCTTTTCTCCCAGTGAAATGATATGCAAACAGTTTTCCGCTTTTCTTGTTTCTCCTATTGAAATAATACTTTGGCATTCCATTAATTTCTCCCTTCCTGTTTATCTGTAACCTTATCCATTTCCCTGGGGGGGGGGGAAGTGGAGACTTGTAGATGGGGAAACTGAGGCCTTACGAGTATAAACAGTGTCACCCTGTTTCCTGATTGGCTCTCCTGAATGTGAACAGGAGGTAAGATAGGTCAGAGCTGAGGAAGATGGGCTTCGGAGTGACCCAGACCTGGGCTTGCAGCTGTGGGACTTTCCATCAGTAACTTAAAATTTTTTGATCTTCGATGTTCTTACCTGTAAAATGGGGGTTTTGTGTGGATGAGCAGGGGGATCTATGGTAAGGATGAAATGAGACAAGGTGTTAATGTCCCTACACTAGAATATGGGATGTTCTTTGGGTGAGCAAGTGCAGGTGTCCTCAGGGGCCAAACAGGTGCTGAGGGTAAGGTGAGGGGGTAGGGGAGACCTCAGAGAACCAGGTGTGTCAGCTCTAGCTTGCCTGTCACCAGGCAGGACTGGCTGTGGCTAGGTTCTCCAGTTTTGTAAGACAAGCTGGAAATCTGGCCTTTTTGTGGCGTGGTCCTTTCATTCTATGTTGCCAATCTGTCAAAATCGAGGTCTGCCATCTGATTCTTGGAAGCACTCATCAAAAGGTAGCTGCTGTTTTTACTTTAGATCCTCGGTCCTTCATCTGAAGTCCTGAAACTTGAAAACTGTGAAAACAAAAAGATGTTTTGTAACTGATGAGGCAGCAGATCCTGACCTGAAGGGAGAGGAGGCCAGTGACAGTCATCCTTGTCGTCATTGATCCCAACTAGGGTTACCTGGGCACATGCTTCACAACAGAACTATCGATGTGCTTGATCACCAGGGGCTCCACAGCCCCTGCCAGGGTTGTTTCCAAATACAGGACATGTGTGCTGTATTACCTTTCTGCAACTGTAAAAACTATATTTGGAAACACATGTGCGCCTGTGTGTCAGCCCTTCATCATCCTATGATTCTTATTGTAAACATTTGGACAAAGCCAGGGAACATATCTTCTGCTGGTGGCGGTGAAGGGTCCAGGCGTTGTTCCCGTGATTGCTGCTTCGTTTGGCTTCTTTGTCAAAGTCCCTGCCCCCAACAGTGGCCTAGGACTCAGGACCCCTGATGTTTGTTTTCATGAGATCTCAGGCTGCTCCCTCTGCACTCAGGACCTCGGTCTCTTCATCTGAACCAGAATTTTATGATTTTTGAAAATTTCATTTGGTCAGCCTTCCCTCGCCCTCCCCCATGCCCAAATAAAAGAGATTAAGACCCAGCACTCTCTTCCCTTCCCCTGCTTATAGGGTTGGGGGACAGAATATTTTAACATAATAGGATTTTTCCCCTCCGGTTGGTAGGAATAAATCTGCAGCTACTGTTTTATTGGAAATCCCAGCTGAAAATAAAAATGGTGCAATTCAATCTCAGATTTAGCTGGTTACTTACTTTTCACTGAGTCCCTGGGGCTCTGTGGTTGCTGGGTTTGTGTTGGCAGTGGGTGCTCATTTGGATTTAAAGGGCCAAGCAAATGGTGTTGGGGAAGGTGTCTTGACTCCCTCTGACCACTGGGGGCAGGTTTTTCCAACCTGGAGGCATGGAGCGGGGGCTGTGCCAGCTCACCTCTCTGTCTGAAGGTTGGTGTTCAGCAGGAGCTTGGTGGGATGGCAGCAGGTGGAATGTGTGTGTCTTCAGCCTTGGCTGATGCAGGTGTTTTGGGTTTCTTTTGCAGGCTGACGGAGCCAGTACAGCTGGAAGGAAAAGCACGGCAAACAGGTACACCTCCCACACCCAGCTCATGTCCTGTCCCTGTCCCAGGTCTTTTTTTTTTTTTTTTTTTGAGACAGAGCCTCAAGCTGTCCCCCTGGGTAGAGTGCTGTGGCATTACAGCTCACAGCAACCTCCAACTCCTGGGCTCAAGCGAGTCTCCTGCCTCAGCCTCCCAAGTAGCTGGGACCACAGGCGCCCGCCACAACGCCCGGCTGTTTTTTGGTTGCAGCCGTCATTGTTATTTGGTGGGTCCGGGCTGGGGATTCGAACCCGCCACCTTAGGTGTACGTGGCTGGCGCCTTAGCCGGTTGAGCTATAGGCGCCAAGCCCCTGTCTCAGGTCTTCACGACTAACAGCCACCACTCTCTGGTCCTCACCTTCCACCTGAAAGGATGGATGGTCCAGGCCAGCTGTCTTTGCTCAGAAGTATCCACACTTCCCTGGAGGCTGTGAAGTTGAGGGCAATATTTTTCATGTGCTTTCTCTGGGCGTCTGGGACCAAAATCCAAGGATGACTCATTTCTTAAACTGGCCATTGGTCACTAAAGTTGGGGAGAGCTTGAAGGGGAAGCAGGAGATCAGACAGCAAGACCTGAGCTTGAATTTTAGCTGGGCTGCCACGTGGTGAACTCCAGGGGGAGCCAGTCTCATCCTTGTCTGGAAGTCATTGGTCCCTTTGCCTGGGTTGTGTGCCCATCTGCCTGAACCAGGCACTCCAAAGCAGGAGGAAGGGGTACTCTGATTAGCCAGACCAGGGGATCTATCCTCACCTTTGGTGCTGTGCATGAGGTTGGAGAGGGAGGTCTCCTAACGGAAAGCTGGGCAGTTGTTACCAAAAAAGAATGACATAGGTAGTACCAGACAGGCCTAAGCTGTGGATGTCACCTACCTGTGGATGGCACCGGTAGGTACTTGGTAAATGTTAGCACTGATGCTGCTGCTGCTGCTGTTCCCTTGGGTAGAGCAGAGTTGGAGTGGCCACATGACTGTTGGGTGGGGCACTGGATGTAGGAAGAAGGCAAGGGACACAGGAGAGAGATGGCTCCACAGAGCATATACATAAAATCTAGAATAGCCCCTAGGGGTCCACCTATTAGAGTTGAGGGACCCATTGCAAATGCCAAGCAGAAGAATTTGCCCTTTGGCTTATGGAACACTACTTCTTTAAAATGTTAATACGTCTTTTGTGTGTGTGGGAAAGAAAAGGATTCTTTCCATGGCCAGAAATAAGCTCAGAGGACGGTGGGTTCAGCAAAGTCAGACAGGTTCTCTTGCTATGGGACTTTCCAGAGCCTTGCATGTACTAATGCATGTGGTTCAGAACATCCAAGAGAGATGAGAATGTCAAGCTCCTCGGTCTTCTTACTCTTGGGACCTCTTTGTTGATGTTAATTCCATTGAGCAAATGTTCCTTGGAACATACTTTGGGAAACCATGAAGAGGTGTTGAAGTTCTTTGAGTGGAAGAGTAATGTGCTTGCTTTGTGTTTCAGGAAGGTCATCCTCCCAGCTGTGTGCCAGGTGGATTGGAGGTGGGTGGAATAGAGGCCATGATAGCAGACCAGAGGTCGCTGAGACCCTGTGTGGCCCGGCAAATATTTTATGCTTTGCAAGCCACGTGGCCTCTGTGGCATTTTCTCAGCCCAGCCAGCATAATGCTGAAGTAGCAGTAGATAATACATAAATATGTACATAAATGGCTGTCACTTGCCAGCCCCTACTCTAAAGTAGCTCCTGCCTGAGAGTCTTTGCAGCTGTTCCCTGTTTCTGGAATCTTCTTTCTCTGATCTTCCCACTACGAGCCTTTTCATTTTGGGGGACTCAATTCAGTCATCCTCTCAGAGAAACTTTCCCGGACCCCCTAGTTCAAGGTACCTACCACCCCAATCTGTGGCTTGTGGCCTGTGACCTTTCTATCCTGTTCATATCCTTCAACTATTCCATTTATTTCTGTGCCCTTTTCCCCCATGTCCCTTACAGTGCCAGCTCCATGGGGTGGGGACTTTGTCTGTCATGTTCACTACTATGGGCCTGGCCCCTAGCAGGACCTCTGCAAATGTGGATGAGACAGATTCACTGACAGAGGGAAGGGGTGGGGGTGATATAAAGGCAGGGGAGGAGGGGGAATAGCTGAGATGGCGAGCTTGGCCTGTGGATATTGGCAGCAACCCACATGGCCAACAGCTGCCCAACATCTTGTGTTTTTCTTCTGGGCCTCTGGTAGTGGAATTCCTTGTAAGAGCTGTGTGTGACACCATGGCCTATGGGGCTGTGATGGTCCTCAGATTGGTGGTATCTGGAAGCATTTCTTGGATCAGAACATCAGAATTGGAAGGGGCCCTGGGGTTTGTCTGGTTCACCATTTCATTTACAGTAGGGAGACTGAGGGCTTGGGGAGGAATAGATATAGAGTTACATGGTAAGCGAATGGCTATGTCAGGTCTTGAACCTACCCAAGCCGCTTCCTTCTTGGCTCAGAAATACTGTGCCCTATTAAGGGTCTAGCCAGCCTCTCCCTCCTTCCTCCCATGTTTACCGAGCACCTGCTGTGGTGGACTGAGTACTGTGTGCTGTGGGCTCAGATGGATTAGTAGGCACCTGCAGTCCCAGCTACTTGGGTGGCTGAGGCAAGAGGTTTGCTTGAGCCCATGAGTTTGAGGTTGCTATGAGCTATGACACCACAGCACTTTACCAAGGGCAACAAAGTGAGACTCTGTCTTCAAAAAACAAACAAAAAAGATTACATACAATTGATAATCTGTATGTAATCAAATTACATACCACTAATTTATTCATCCAACAGACTTTTTGAGGGTCTCTTGCATGGCAGGGACTGCTCAAAGAGCTGGGCCGACAGCAGTGAACAAAGAGACGAAGCTCCATCTACCCCTTGTCACTCTCGTGGACACATGGTCCTTACCTTCACCCTCTAGTGTGAGGATCTCTTCCGCACCGCATCTCTGCCTGGGGATGTAGTTAGAGGACAGCAGGCAGATTTCCCCATGGTGGTAGTGGCTGCCTGAAGCTCTGCATTGAGTATTATCAGCCCGAGGAGAAGAGTGCTGAGATTGTTTAGAGATGCCTTCCTGATCAGGGAAGGGTGAGGGTGGCATGTGTGCCATTGGTTTGTCTCCCTGACTGGTCTAGGCTCTCCAGCTCGCATGCTGAATGACTGAATTCCTGTGTTAGTACCAGAATATGCACCAGGAAGGGCCAGCTCAAATTTCAGAGTCATGTGTGACTTTAGGTGTAAAGACTTTATAATAATAATGACCACCCTTTAGCCAGCACTTCCTTACCAGGCTCTGCACTAAATGATTAACATTTATCAATTGTAGGTAATCATTTTTTTTTGAAGACCAGAATCTCACTTTGTTGCCCATTGTAGAGTGCCATGGCGTCATAGCTCACAGTGACCTCAAACTCTTGGGGTCAAGCAATCCTTTTGCCTCAGCCTCCTAAGTAGCTGGGACTATAGGTGCCTGCCACAACACCTGACTGTTGTTTTAGAGACAGAATGTCTTGCTCAAGGCTTGTCTTAAACTCCTGAGCTTAGGCAATCCACCTGCTTCAGCCTCCCAGAGTGCTAGGATTATAGGTGTGAGCCACCTTGCCTGGCCTCAATTATAGGTAATCCTTGTAATGACCCCACATGGGAGGCACTCTTATTATTCCCACTTTACAGAAGAGGAGCTTAGGCACAGAGAGGTTTACGAGCTTGAGGCTGCCTAGTTGGAAGTAAGCAGTAGAGCCAGGATCCCCACCTAGGTCTGACTTCTGTGATGTGTGACCATCCACTGTGCCCTCCTTCTTGTTGGTAACAGGTCAAGTGATACATGTTGCAGGAGTCTGTTTGGGGCCAGGAATCATGCTGTAAGCTCAGAGCCTGTCACAAAGGCAGGACTCCAATCGAGCTTACAGGCAGGTTTATGTTGATTCTATGTTTAAAACTCATCCTTTGAAGGAGGAAACACATTATTGTATAGTGACTTGGTGTTCAGCCTCAGAAATGAATTATATTATTAAACATCAAGACAACATAAGCAGTGGCCTTACCAATACTCCTGGTGAATTTGACCCTGGCCAGGTGGGGTTTGGAAAGGTTGAGTCTTTGTAGAGGATAAGAGCTCATTTAGTCCTATTTCAAATGGAGAAATGAAGGTCCTCATGTTCCTCAAAGTCAGAATGAGACTACATAGCCCTAAGCAGGAATGACCTGGAAGGATTGCTGACCCTGACATGGGCCTCCAGTCCCAGCTATGCCCTGGGACACTCTGTTATTGCACTAGGGTCTGCTTTTATCCCAGAGCCTTCCTCTTGGCCTGGAACACGTAATTTTGTTATTTCTCCAGAGAGCCTCTGGCTAAACCCCAAAGTCAACAGCATGGGCTGCTAAGGAATTAGTGTTAAATTGAGGGGGACAAGGAGAGGCGGTGTTTCTGATTTTAAGAAACAACCGAATGTGGTTTGGTTTACTTCCCTGTAACCCAGCCTGGGTCGATTTTACAAGTGCAGTGATCCCAGCACTTAAGGTTAATCTTGACCTGGTGTGCAGATTACAAATCACGCAGCACAACTGCAGCCAGACCTCACTTTGAGGGCTGTGGGGGCTGTGGGGCCTTCACTGTGCATTCTGAAAGATACACAGTTTTGTAATATAATGAAATTAATTGCAGTCACAGCCTTGCTATGATGAAGAATTAGGTCTGTTTTTATCAGCTGAAGGTTTTCTGAGCTTCATTTCTGAGGAAGGACTCTATGGCTAACCTAGTCCAAACTTCTCATTTAGAGACCAGGAAACTGGAGATAGAATAGGTTAAAGGACTCATTCCTGTGTTGTACCCTTTACCTCACAAATGACCAGGATCTTGTAGACAGGGAGGTTAGGCGGGAGGGGGCCATGATAAAACCAAGTTTCATTCATTCTGCAAATTTTTATTGAGTGCCTACTAAGTGCTGGGGCCTGTCACAGGTGCTGGAGATAACGGCAGCAAACAAAACAAAAAT